GCTGCTCCTCCTTTGTGTGTCTGGCTTCAGGAGGCAGGGCCTTGTCTCTCCTGCACTCTGTCTCCTCTCAATAAGCAGCCGTTGACTAAAGAGCTGCAGGGATGTTCTCTAGTCTGTTTCCTGCTCGGGAGTGTGAACAGGGCGTAAAGGCACCCACCAGCCTCTGCCTCGCTGCCACTGGCAGCTCCAGGAAACGAGAAGGAAGCAGCCTCGGGGGGTGTCGCCCACAGCTCACCTGGCTCCCACCCAGGCTGTGGGAGCCCCCAGGCCTGCGCCTGCCATCCAGGCTTGGACCCTCCCTTGCCCACTCGCCCGAGGGTTCCCACAGCGTCACTGAACCCCACCCGCTGGCCTTCCCAGAGCAAAGGAGCGGTACCTGCTGACCTCACAGACTCTGTGGGCATGGCGGGAGGCAGCTTACAGGGACATGGCTGGCAGAGAGAAGCTGCTCAATAAACGATGGTGGAAGTTCCGAGGGCTTAGCAGCAGATGGGACTTAATTGCTGACATTGCCTGCTGAAATCCCGCCCATTCTCCCAGGCTCAGCTGTAAAAAGTAACAGTATCACTTACCCTTTATTGAGAACTCACTATGTGCCCGGTACCTTGTAAGTGAGAGCTAAATAAATATAACATCTCATTTTATCCTTGCATTCATCCTATAAAGTGGGGATTTATTATTCCCGTTTTATAGATGAGGGAACTGAGGCTTAGAGTAGTTGTGTGACTTGCCCGCAGTGATGCAGCCAGCCCTGTGCTATTAAGCCTCTGATGACATCGCTCAAGCTCCCTTGGTGTGTGTGTGTGTGTGCGTGTGTGTGTGTGTGTGTGTGTGTGTGTGTGTGTGTGTGTGAAGTATCCATTTCTTGAAGGCTGAGATCACAGTCACTCATTTCTCCCCAGGGTCAGGCCCGGTTCCCGGCACACTGCAGGTGCTGCCCCTGTGTGTGCCAGGTCAACGAGGGGCCGAGGGCCCCTGGGGTTCTTCTGCTTGGCTCCATCTCTGGGAAGGACAGGTGAAGAAAATAGAGCAAAAGAAAGAAAACCGAGCAGCTGATCTCCAGAGACATAAGTCAGCTGCAACAGAAAGGCCTGGGGATGTTCACGTAGGAGAGTGTGTGGCAGGACCTGGTAGAGCCAGGAAAGCCACAGGGCACAGTGCGGGTGGGCGTGCGGACCGCCCAGAGGCAGGAGTGGCGGGTGGCTGTGGGAGGCGCCTCCTGGCCTGTGGCACTGCAGCTGAGCTGGGCTTCTCTGTCTCCCCAGGTCAACTCTCCACCTGCTCTCCATTCCTGCAGGAGAGAAGGAGAGGAGAGAGCCATGCTGGGGTCCTGATCCCCATGTGTTGGGCCAGGACTGTAGCAACTCTGTGGTAAGTAGCCCAGGATTCTGCCCTCTCCTGGGTGGTTTGTCTACACCCCACCTTGCCTTTTGAAGAGTTCCATGAAGTCTCCTTTTTAGACCCTCTCCAAAGTACCCTCATTTGAATGTACCCTCTGCTCCTGCAGGGTCCCTGACCGGACCCTGACTGAGGAGCTGGGACGCCCTGTAGGTGCTCTTTGGGCCACTCCTGAGGTCAGGGTCTATGCTACTCATTTTTGCACCCCCACCTTTGGCAAAGCGCTTGGGACAGGATTCTAACATCTATTGAGCACTTATGTGCCTGGCATAGCTACCTGTATTAACTCGAATCATCCTCACAACGCCCCATGATTATCACCCTGTTTTATAGTTGAGGAAGCTAAGACCGGGAGAGGTTGCGTAACTGGCCGAGGTCACATGTCTTGTTGGCATGAGCAGATTTGGGATTCTAGCCCAGGCAGTGCGACCCCCGAGCCAACAGAATGGCACTCGGCCCTGCTCCTGGGTTGCCTTTCGGTTGCCTTGTGGCTTTAGGGTGGTGTCTATCGGCCCTGGGAACCAGAAGAACCCATTTCTTTTCCCCCTCAGAAGCTCAGGTAGAATGGGCAGAAGGTAGAATGTATGGCAACTATGGCAACCAGATCACCTGGTCACACAAACTGGTGAGCCCTGGGGGCAAAGGTTCTGCTGCCGGCAGAGAGAAAGGTGTGGCTGGCATGGGACAGTGTTTGAGGTACCAGATCCACTGGGAGGACCTGGAAGAGTACCAGGTGGGTAGACCAGGCTGAGACTCTGGGCAGCGGTGGGAGCTTCCTAAGGCAGGTGGGGCGAGCGGGGAGACTCTTACCTGAAGCTCTAGACCAGTGGCTCTCAACCTTCTGGCCCTTTAAATACAGTTCCTCATGTTGGGACCCAACCATAAAATTATTTTCGTTGCTACTTCATCACTGTCATGTTGCTACTGTGATGAATCGTAATGTAAATATCTGATATGCAGGATGGTCTTAGGCAACCCCTGTGAAAGGGTCGTTCGACCGCCAAAGGGGTCGCGACCCACAGGTTGAGAACCGCTGATCTAGACTCTCTACCAGTCAGATAGTGGTGGCCCTGGCCTTTGCTGATGTCCGGTCCAGTCCTCCCAGGCCTCCTCCCCACCCGTCCCCTGCTCCACAGCCCGGTTTCTGTCTTGTCTCTGATTCTCTCTCCAGGTCTGAGCCCATACACTCCTTCCCGAGACCATGAGAGACAGGGGAGGGGCAGGGCACTGTTTCCTCCTCGGGTACCCCCTCAGGCATTCACTGCGGAAGGCCAGGTGCCTCCATTTCTGGCTGTTCCACCCCGGCCCCCGAAGCTCCCCACTCCTGGGGAGGCCAGACAGAGTGGGCAGATCACCTCTCTGTGGTTTGTTGTAGGCGCTGACCTTCCTGACCAGAAATGAGATCCTGTGGTGAGTAGAGCCCCTCCCGCCCGTCCCCCACCCCCTGGGCTGCGATCTTGCCCTGGCCCCTGCAGGTGATCCCTGCTCAGAGCCCTAAGCTCACGCGGTGGTAAGAGGGAAGGATGAGCCTGCCCAGAGCAGGCAGAGACGGACCAGCCCCAGGGTGGGGTCGTGATCCCCAGGCCTGGCGAGATGAGTGGAATGTCAGGCTTCAGGCTGCCGGGGGACCCAAGGCAGGGCTTCCTCAAGGAATCACAGAGGTGGGCAGGCCCTCCCTGGGATGATGAAGACAAGGGTTCCTGGATGAACCGTAATTCGTTCAGGAAACAGGTCTGAAGCCCGTTTGGACCCGTCACTGGCTGGGTAACCTTGATGCACTAACTGCATCTCTCTTAGCACCCATGCCCTCCCCAAGCCTCCCTTCTGTGCCTGGTGTGCGGCAGACACCGTGCCGGCCCTGGAGTGCAATGGTGACCATTGGTCCCTGCTCTCACAGGTTTCTGTCCAAAGCTATCCATCACCATGTCCCCTCATAGGATTGCAGAGGGATGGAAGGCATGAGGGAGGGGTGAGTGCACAGCCCAAACCAGGTGCTCAGCGAACACTTGGTAGACGGATACATGAGCTCACTAAGGCATGAGGCAGGGCTGGAGGGAGGAGACCACTGTGAGACCCTCAGGCCTGGGCCCTCTCCCCTCCCTGTCTCTGCATGGACTCGCGCTTCCCACCATGATGCCCGGCCTGAGAGCCACACTTCCCACCTCGAGTCCCAGGCAGGCGACGCCTTTGCCACAAGCATGAGCCTCCCCAGGCACTGAGCGTGGCCAGGACACGGGGAGCCATGGAGACCAGGGCCAATCACGGGGCTATATTATTTTCCTTTGAAAATTAAAATTCACTCACTTTTTTAAATATAGAAAAAAATATGACAAAACTCCACATGACTCACATCCTACTACCCCTACTGAGCTTTCTAAAAAGTAACTCTTGAGCAAAAATAAAATCTAATTTTAAAATGTAACTTGTGAGCATGGCTAGAAAATTTGATAGCATAGAAAGCTCTACATAAAAAAGTAAATGCCCCCCCCCCCCC